GTGGTGTGGTGGTCATGATGTGGTGGCCGTGGCCGTGGTATGGTGGCTGTGATGTGCTGGCTGTGGTGTGGTGGCCGTGGTGTGGTGGCCGTGGGGTGGTGGCCGTGGGGTGGTATGGTGGCTGTAGGGTGGTGGCCGTGGGGTGGTGGCTGTGGCGTGGTGGCCCTCCCAGGTGCCCTGCCCTGCACACCTTTCCTGCTGAGCTGCAGCGCCCTGGCGTCCCACTGCTGCTCCCTGGTGAGCACGGCCTGCCGCAGCTGCACACCCATGTGCTCCAGCAGCTTCTTCCGGGCCAGAAACGTCTCCCTCTCCGTGGGCATCAGCGCGTGGAAGGGGCAGTGGGCGATCTTCCGGTCCTGTGACACACTATGGGCTCACCACACACTCGGGCTATCCCCCCACCCAAGGCACAGTCTTAGAGTCACCAAGGGCCCCCCCTCCCCCAGCCTGAGCTGCAGAGTGACTGGGTGAGGGGCCACCTCCCCATCCAGAGTGACGAGGGACTGTGAGGGTGCACACCAGCACGCGCTCACCACCGTGGGGCCTCCTGCAGGTGTGCCTGGCTCCACCAGAGGGAAGCCAAGTCCCCGGTGGCCCTGCTCAAGACAAAGCCTTACCTGGTAGAACTTGAAGTAGCCGTAGTCCACCGCTGTGCCCACGGCCACCCTGTCACCCTGTGTGAGCATCACGGGCTTCAGGATGTCAGCCCCGTGGCTAATGAGCCGGTCGATCTGTGGGAGACAGAAGCCCTCAAACTCAGAAGCCACAGCGGGGGGGCCCTCAGAGCCACCCATGGCATTGGGCTATGCGCATGGCGGCCCTGCCCACGGCCGGAGGCTCCGCAGACACTCTAGGCAGCCAGACGGCAGCACAGGGAGAGGCAGGGCTGCCCACAGGGCTGGGTCCCCTGCCTTCTGCCCAGAGGCCACTTTCTGGGTGTAGGGAGAACCAGAGGCAAACAGGAAAACAGGCTGGTCTCAGCCTGGTCCGAGGGACACTACTCCCTGGTGGGGTGGCCGTGGCCGTGGCGTGGTGGCCGTGGTGTGGTGGCCTTCCCACACACGTCCAAGGGACACCCCTCCCTGGGGCACTTCACTGGAAGACCGCACAGCAGCACCACGGGGTCCCGCCAGGCTTCAATGTATGCAGTGTGAAGGCAAAGGCAGGGGCGCTGGTGACACTGCAAACGCATGTGTGTGATGGCGTGTGTGCGCTCACGTGCAGTGTGGGCGTGTGTAGGTCCAAGTGTGTGGTCACACACGTGCACACTGGGGGTTGCAAGTGACATTCAGGCACCTGAGTGCAGATGTGTGCATTTCTGAACATGTGTGCACTGTGGGGGTGGGCATGCTGTGTGCGTGGATGTGGACAGGTGTGGGTGCACACGCGTGTATGCATTGCCAACACGCCACAGCAATGCTCTCTGGATCAGGATTGACCATGGATTCCACTCAAAGCAAATGGCACCTAACCGTCGGCACCACCCACCCCCACCCCAGCCAGACCAGGAGGACGCCCTGGGAGGCCCAGTGTGGCTGGATGAACACAAGGTGACATGTGGCCTCCTCGCTAACTAAGTGCCAGTGGGACCCTGATTCAGGGATGCATGACAGCTGTCCCACGCCTGTGCCTGGTTTAGCATTCACCCTGCACAAACACAGGAGCCCTGGATTCTCAACAAGGCTGTGAGCGCAGCATCGCGGGTATGGCACCTGGCACTGGGGGTAGCAGTCTGGCCAGAGCAGTGTTCACCGTGTGGTTCTACAGGGGCGGAGGGTGGAGCATACCAGATTGCACCAGGCAGCAGTGATGCTGTGCTGCAAAGAGCGAGCTTCCCACTGTCCTGACCCCCTACAAGAACCCCCATCCCTGTCCCCACTCCCCTCTCCCCTCTTCCTGCTGGAGCCATGATACCCTTCCAAAAGAGCCAGTGCTGGACAGCCCTCCAAGGTCTACCACCTTGTCTGCCCTTTTCCAAAGAAAGCAGAGTGCCAGGGTGTGGCTTGGTGGCAGAGCCCTGCCTAGCATGCACAAGGCCATGGGTTTTAGTCCCCAGTGATGCAAAAACATGACCAGAAGGCAGGGGCAGACCGTGGGTGAGCCACGGGGTGCAGGCAGCTGCAAGTGCTCGGCTGATGGACAGGTGGATTGACAGTGATTCTTCCCGTCCTGCACAATGATGCTGGGGGCTAACCACCCCAGCTCTGCCTTCAGGCACAGGAGCCCTGGGCCTTCCTCAGTGGGCACCAGGTCTCACCAGGCAGCTGGGCCAGGCAGTGCATGGCCAGCCCCCCTCTGAGCTCCCAGGCCCCACAGCCGCTCACTTGGCCTGCTCCCTCCCTCCTCTGCCCGACGTCCCAAGAGCAGCTCCAGCCCTCTGAACTGCTGCCCACCCTCTGAACTGCTGCCCACCATATTCAGTCAGGCACAGGGTGGCCAGCCCGCCCTCCGCCCCCATCCCAGGCCCCTCCTGCCCTCCTGTCCACCTCTCACCAGTGCTATCTTGTTGTCCACGTTCCTCTGGTGCTCGTAGGCCAGGTCACACACGACACACAGGGCACTGCCCAAGCCTCTGGTCAGGGGCAGGTTGGGGTCAGCTCCCTGGGACAGGAGTTCCTTCACGATCTGCAACAGATGGGTTCCACAGTGGCCACCATGTCACATCCCCTCACTGCAGTCTCCGCGGCCATCCCTGGGCACTTTGCATGGAGCTCCTATACAGAGGACATGTCATGTAGGGGTCACATGGAGGTTCCTTAGGGAAGAGCCGGGATTCCACCCTGAGCCCAGTTCTGGTGTTTCCTCATGGACAGTCCACACGGTGGCTCCAACAGCCCTGACTCCTGTCCTGCTTTCTAGCCAGGCAGCGCTAAGCCCTGGACAGGCCCAGCACAAGGTCAAGAGCATACCGGCGGCCGTGTGTGCCCTGCCCCAGCTTTCTGCCCCTCAGCACTATACAGCCTGTGACTGTGTTACCCCTGGGCGAGGGTCTGGCTCCCCGGCTAGCACGTGGGGTCCTGGGGAGCAGAGAGTCCATCTTATTCAACACCTACTGCCTGTGGCCGTGCTGCCTGCACAGAGCAGGTGCCCGATAAAGAAGAGCTCAGTGAACCACGGGCAGGGTGCACGCCTGGGGGTGGGAGTGCTCACCAGGTCATTCCCACTAGCGATGGAGAGGGAGAGTGGGGAGTGGCCACTCCACAGCAGGTTGGAATCCGCTCCATGGGAGAGCAGGAGCTGGACCACGTCCCTAGCGTACTGTGGGGGACGAAGCAATTCAGTTAGAGAGCAGCCCCTGTGCCAGAGGCAGCCATCCCCAGGAGCCCTGCACTGCAGCCCCGCGGGGGCCTGGAGCCCCCCGAGCCACACGCCTTCCTCCCACCAGCACTAGGAGGTGCACACTGTCCCAGACCCGGGGAGGTCAGAGCTCCTCACACTGACAAGATGTCTTCTTTCCAGATGGGCAACAGGAGGGGCGCTGAGGCCCAAGTGACCTGGGGCTTGCTTTCCCAGGAGCAGGGGCGTCAGGGCCCACGCCCACACCAGCAGGGCCTGGCTCCTGGCAGGTGTCACGGAGGATCCGTCTTCCCCAGGCCCAGCCTGACAGGCACCATCAGGCTGGAAGGTGGCCACCCTCCTGCCCAGGGGAAGCCTCTGCTTCTCTGGCTCCGAGGCCAGCAACAGGCCCGAGCCCTGAGAGCCACAGGCAGCCCTTGGTGCCTCCCTCTTCCTCTTCTTCCCCAGGAGTGTAGCAGGGTGGCCACCTCTGCCCCCCACAGCAGGAACTCCCCCAGGCGCCCTCTGGCGGGGCACTCTGAGCCCTCCAGATGTGGCCAGCAGTGGGCCCTGTGGACCTGCTCCTTCCCCCTTAGGCCTGGTACTGCCTCCGACACCCCTGCCCAGCATCACCCCTGCGCCTGCCGCCAGGGGCTGCCCACTAGGTTATCACCCTGGCCGTAGGTGGGTAAACTGAGGCTCCGCGTTCCATGCGCCCCGTGGCTAACCGGCCCAAACTGCGCAGGCCCCGAGGCACAGGCTTGGTTTCTGACTTCCCCACATGCACTCAGCCACGTGGTCTCCTCCAGGTGCCTCCAGCACCCAACCTGCTGGGATTGCTCCCAGAGGATGTGCCGCCAGGCCAGGGGACACTGCCCTGGCCAGGAAGCTGGGGCTACCCTGGGCCCCCTAGCCAGGGAGGCTGGCGGGGGCTGGCAGGGTAGAACAGCCAGAGCCCGGGACAGCAGCCCCCACGCCTGTCAGCACAGGCCCCATCCCTGTGTGCACATGGCCTGCCTGTGGCGTGGGTCCAGAAACATTGTGTGCAAGGCTCCAGTGCCTGAGTGGTCCACTGCTGTTCCACTCTGACCTGCTGCGCTCCGCTCCAGCAGACAGTGCTGCACGGGTCCCGAACCTCACGAGGAGGGGCTGCATCTTGAGAACTGCTGGCCTGGACCACAGCAGCCAGGACCCCCATGGGGAAGTGCCCACTCCCCAGCTGAGCTGCTCACTGCACTCACATACACACTGATTCACAAGGACAAGCTCACAGACACGTCTGTGCACACATATGAGCACACCTGCTCCCACACAGACACTGCACACACACACACACCTACCCACACAACACCTGCATACACACACACTTGCCCACACACAGACATCTGCCCACACACACCTGCCCACACACATCTGCACACACACACCTGCATATCTGCCTCCCACACTTATACACACAGATACCTGTCCCCCACACACCTGCACACACAGACACCTGCCCCACACACACCTGCACACACACACACACCTGCATACACTCACCTGCATACACTGCATACCTGCCCACACACACACTTGCATACACACACACCTGCACACCTGCCAGCACAGACACCTGCATGCACACACACCTACACACACACACACACACACACCTGCACACAAACATACCTACACACACACACACACACCTGCACACACACCCCTGCATACCTGCCCCCCCACACACCTACCCACACAGACACCTGCCCCACACACACCTGCACACACACCTACATGCAGAGACACCTGCTCACACACACACCTGCACACACACACCTGCTCACACACACACCTGCAAACACACACACTTGCACACAGCCCTGTACATGCAGTGTGGCACAGAAACCTCAGGAGGCTCTGGGCACAGACCCTGTGTTCCCTGCCCGCCCTCTTCCGGTCCTGTTCCAGGCAGTGGCCTAGTTCCAGCATGACAGCACACGCTCTCCACAAAGTACCCCAGCTCTGGGCAGGCCAGCGGACCCCAGCCAGGGCCCTGTGGTCACTTGCCTTCTTGTTGTCCTCCCGCTCACAGGCCACGTGCAGAGCTGTCCTGCCGCCCTCTATGGGGACACAGGTGTTCGTGGTATAGTAGGTGCTGGGTGGGCCTGGTTCATTGTTGAGCTTCAGGCTTGAGGGTGGCAGGTCCATCTGTGTGCAAAGGAGGGTTCAAGAACTGGCCTGGGTCCCCTGGCCAATACCCAGGGACATGCCACTTGCTGGCTAGGGAGGCCGTGAGCACCAAGACAGCAAGCTTCCTGCCCACTCTGCATCGAAGCCCTGCTGTGTCTGGCTCTGCCTGCTGCCACAGCCACCTGACTCCACGGGGTGAGAGCCACCCTGTGCCCTGCACACCACACCTCCTGTCTGCCACACCTGGTGCGGGGAGCGGGGGTGGCACACGAGGCTCTGTGGGCATGAGGAGGAGACGAGGAGCAGCCCACCCTTGGGGTCTGGTCTCAGACCTCTGCAGTGGCCTGTGTGGGTCTTTGGGAGCTCAGGAGGCTCAGGAAGGCTTTGCAGGTGGAAAAGACACAGCACAATGTGAACTAGAGCCACCTGCTCACCTGGACACCCACACCTGTCCCCCACGCACACCAGAGCTCAAGCCCCACCTCAGCTGCCCAGAGGCTGCTGCCACTGCACCCCAGGGAAACCCAGCCAGAAGCAAGCCACCCTGCCCCCACTCCCCCTCACAGCCTCTGGTGGGTGGTACCAGCCCAGCCTGACCCCAGCCTGGGAGATCTGAGTCCCCTGAGCCCCGAGCACATCTGTGTCCTTGCTGCTCTAAGGAGCCAGGCCAGGCCAGCACCTTCCCCAGGAGAAGGACACAGGCCAAGGTGGAGCAAGTGTCCCTGACAATCAGGCACTTCTGCAGCTCAGAGCCACTCAGGGAGAACCCAGACCAGCCAGGTCCCCGTCCCTCCCTGTGCCTCAGAGAGCCGCACCTTGTTGAGCTTGTACGTGTGGTCCGCGTCAGCGGCCTGGGCGTCCACACAGGTGATGGCATGCAGCAGCAGCTCTGTGATCCTGACCCCCTCCTGCCCGGGAAGGGCAGCAGCGATGTGGAGCGGGGTCAGCGCCCCCAGCTGCAGAGGAAGTTCAGATGGGGTAAGGCACACCGTCCTGGAGCCAAGCAGGTGAGGGTCCCCGGTGGGTGGGGCCAGTGCAGGACCCCTCTGCCTGACCTGGGGGAAAGGACACATTCTTCCCGTACCAGTCTGAGATCCCCACCTCCTCACCAGCCCCACTTCGTGCAGGACAAGGAGGCCCCCAGGGCAGAGGGAGGCCGTGCCCACTAAGGAGCATGTGCACAGGAACTGTTGGCAGGCCATGCAGTCCATCCTGGTCAGGGCCACACTGACCAATTGTCCAATACCTTCTCCTAAGAAGCCCTGTCCCTGGCCAGCCCCGGCCCAGGTGCCCCTACCCTGACAGTCATGCGGCTCCTGTCTGGCCTCCTGATCTGCCTGTTCTCACCCGGACGTCCTTCTGACCATCAGCTGAGGTCCCTGGAGGACTGTCCCTGAGTACTGGCAGCACAGAGATGGGCACAGGGCACCTGGCCCTCAGAGGAGCACTGAGACGCCCTGCCTGCATGGGAATGGAGCCCCAGCACAGCACTCCAAGTAGAACCCAGCTCATCAGGAGGTGTCCAGAGGTAAGCACCCAAGGCCCTCCAGGGCAGGACGCAGATGACTCAGACAGCAGACAGAGCTGGTGGTGGGAGGGCCAGTCAGAGGACCTGGGGAGCAGGGGCAGTGTGGCACAGTTTCTCCCGTGGGGGACGGGTGGGCTCCAGGTGCTGACTCTGGCGAGGACAGGAGTCCACAGCCTGAGGGCAGCCTCTGGGGACCCCGCGCAGCCAGAGTCAGCACTCCATGGAGCACCGAGCACGAGGACGCAGGTGAGAACCAGCCTCCGCCCGATGCTGGGAGAAGCCCAGCAGACAGTGCTGCATGCGGCCCACTGCACGGATCCCGAACCTCACGAGGAGGGGCTGCATCCTGAGAACTGCAAGTGCCCTGGGGGCTGCCACTGCACTCACGGCGCCTCCGTCTGAGCAAAGCTGCAAGGTGGGACATCCATCCACCAGGACCAAAGAGGCACCCGAGGAGTGGAGATCCCCGGAGACCGGTGTCACCCTGGAAGCAGCAGAAGTGTGTGTGCGGTGTGCAGTGGTCCAGGGGCCAGGGCCACTCGGAGCAGCTGGCACCACACAGCCCAGGGCCCCTCCTCCACAGTCTGATACCAGGACGTCTTCTCTCTCCCAGGTTTCCCAAGTGTGGTGCAAATTCATCTCGACAGCACGTGGACTGGCTGGAGGCCATTTTAGCTTTATTGGTTCATGGGTCTCCAGGCAGCCCACCCAGCCCCTGCTGGGGGTTACAGCACGAGCCCCTGGGACCCTGCTGTGGTCTGAAACTCAGGCCCCAGAACTGAGCAACAGGATGAAATAAGATAAATAACACCAGATTCGAGGGAGAGGAGGCCCACAGGCAGAGGCAGGGCCTGGAGGTCCTTCCAGAGCTGTGGTTTGAAGAGAGCTGGAAGGCCCCGGAGCTGCGCTGGGAGGGCACCACTGCCCAGGGGCACAGTGCCTGCAGGAGAGGCGAAAGAAGAAACCCAGAGAGCCGCAGCACTAAACCTTCACAGAACAGCACTTCTGGCTCAGCTGACTCAGAGGAAGACCCTCCTGAACACCCTTCTCAATGCCTCCATGTGGCCAGGAAGAGGGCTTGGCCTGCACAGCAGGATGGCCCCAAAGCCACGGTGGGCAGAGCAGGAGGCCCTCGGGCGAGTGCGTGAGCAGCAGCGTGCAGGGCTCTGTGTGGGAAAGCCCTGTTTTCCTCAGCTAAGCAACGGCTCTGCAGCTGCGGGCAGCTGTGCACCAGCCCTGGGAAGGCTGTGGCCCCGCTCCCCCAGGAGGCTCCTGCAGAAGGCGCAGTGCTGAACGCTGGGTCCTGGCTGGGGCTGGGAAGCCGCGGCACCGCCTAGAAACAACACACCCTCTGGCGACCCCAGCACGGGCCTCTCCTGAGATCCACTCAGACCACAGCTCCACTGCACGTAGGCGCGGCCCTGAGCTTCGTCCCCGCCCCCGGTGGCCTACCTGCGGCGGGTACTGGACGTCCGTGCGGGCCCCCTTCTCCAGCAGCAGCTTCACGCCGTCCACGTCGCCCGCCTTCACCGCGAGGAACAGCACCTGCATGGGCACGCTGCACAGGTTGGGGTCAGCACCGCGGCGCAGCAGCAGCTGGATGGTCAGCCACCGGTTTCTCTGTCTGCAGGGGTCAGCGCCAGGGGTCACAGGCTGCAGGGAAGGTGAGGGCCTCCCAACCCTGGCTGTGTGGACAGGACCCCAGGACAGGTGCGCCGTGCTGCAGGGTGGAGGGTGCTCTGGGAGGGGTATGGGCACCACAGACACCAAGCCCCAAGTTTCATCGACTTGGAGAACACCCAAGGTCACCCCCTTCCAAGGTCCCCCCTTCCAGGGGAGGTGGGCAGTGTGGCCATCTCCAAACCATCCCCTGCGGGCAAGGGACTGCAGGCTGCAGCCTGGGGGCCGCTGAGCCTCCCTGATGTCACCAGACGCTGGGGACAGGGGTAGGCCAGCCCCTCCAGGACCAAGCCACACTCCACACCAGTCTGGCAAGAAGCCACCCTGCACCCACTCCTCCCAGCACACACCGTGCACACAACACACTACACGCCACACACCACAACACACAACATACCTACCACACACAATACGCCATAGAATGCATACCATGTAGTATACACTATAATACACACTTCCCCACACACACCTCACAACACATAGGCCACACACACTGCGCACCACATACCACAATACACGACACACACACATTCCGTACACAACAACCACCTCACACAACACGCAGAACACATACCACATGCCACACACATCATAAACCAGAGGACAATACATACACCACACACCCACAGACACCCCACATACGACATACCACGCACAACACACAACACACAGAACACATACCACACTACAGACAACATACAGCAAACCTCACACACTACACACTGCACAACACCACACACAACGCTCTGCTGTGGCACTCAGCACAGGCTCTGTCAGTGTCCACACTGGCCCTGCAGATGCTCAAAGGACAGACTCACACCTCTGGAGACACCCTGTGGCAAGCGCCCCGGGGACAGGAGGCATGCATGGCTCTCAGAGCACACCCCCCCAGCAGCGCGGGCGGAGACCTACTTGATTATGCCCTGTGCCATCCTCCACACGGTGCCCTTGTCCATGCAGGGCACCCGCAGCAAGCTGTAGGCCTGGGCGCTCCTCTCCAAGACCTCTCTGGACAGCCGGAGGGCATAGTTGTACATAGAGGCCATGGACTGGAAGTTGGAGTCCTCGCTGCTCAGGGTGCACACACCCAGGTCTTCGGCCTTCTCCCCCAGCTCTCTGTCCCTGTCGCTGGCGCTGCCCTGCACGGCGGGCGACTCCTGCCTTGGAGGGCTGCCCTGCTGGCCTGGGGACTCTGGAGACGGCTGTGCACTCGGGGACAGGCTGCCCTCCTCGAGGCCCTGGGCGGGCCTGCTGGCCTCATGGACAGGCTCCACGTTCACATCCAGAAAACAGCTTGGGGTGACTGGGCATTTGGGAGGTGCCTTTGGAGAGTGCCAGGAGAGCAGATCAGGGGAGGCCAGAGAAGGCAGCCCCCACACAGCCGCAGCGAGGGCGGCGCCCTGCAGAGCTACGCAGAGCGCGGCCAAGCACAGCAGCGGCTCCCACCTCACCACAGACCTCAGAGGCAGATGCCCTGCAGCACCCTCCAGAAGCCTGAGGTCAGCTGGCCACCACTGGGGACACCAGTGCCACACATGGCTCCTGAGCTCACAGAACATCTCGAGGCAGGGCCCCACCCATGCTGTTCCCAGTGACTACACACAGAAAGGACCCTATTTGAGGTACTGTCAGCTGAATACAATGTATCATGCACCGAGTTTACTTTTTTAATGTGAAAAGTTCAAGTTACAGGTTCAAGGTCATGTTGTGGCCTGCATCCGATTCCCACCAAATGACACTGCTTTGGGTTGGCTTCCCCGTCAAGCCACGGCACACAGTGCCATCCCACCTGCAGCTCCATCCCACCAGGAACTTGGCAGGAACAGGGCGCTGCCCGGAGGCAGCTGTGTGGTGCTACCCTGTCCAGCACAGAGAGGGTCGGGCTGAGCTGCAGAGCGTGGCTCTGGGACGTGCTGTCGCACTCAGGAGGCATCAGGCAGTGCCACATCCATCCTCTGACCCCTCCCCCAGCCTCATCTTGTCACTTGGCCAGTGTGAGCCTGGTCTGCACAGGAGGGTGGTGCAGGTGGACACTTGGGTGCAGAGACAGGCAGCCAGCGGCTGGCAGGGCTGACCTGGGGCAAGGTCCTCTCGGCGACGTTGGGCTTGAAGGACCCACTGGGGTAGTAGAGGAGGAAGCTTATGCTGAGCGCCGTGAGGCCCTCGTCTGTGCGCTTGTTCACGTCCGCCCCGAGGTCCAGGAGAAGGCTGACGATGCGGCTGTGACAGTGTGCCTAGAGGACAGCAGGTGGCGCTGGGGTCTGCGGAGGCCCCCCTGAGGTGGCAGCCTGGCAGGCTCTGGTGAAGGGACACGGTCATGCCCTCCCCTTCCACAGGACCTTGTGGGCCCCCCCCGGGCGGGTGCCTCCGCGCCCTCTGTGGGAGCAGGAGTGGACCTGTGTGGCACTCCTGCGCCTCTGCTTCTCCAGAGCAGCAGCGAGGGCCCTGCCCGCAGTGACCTCCTGCCCGCAGTGACCTCCCCGCTCGACGTTCCTGCGGGCATCCACCAGGTGGCAGTGGGGGCTTACCGCAGCAGCCGCAAGCACAGTGTAGCCCTTGGCGTCGGCCACGTCGGGATGGACGAGGTCGTCCTTCAGGGTTCCATAGATCCAATCAAGGTCCCCTTCCTCGGCCTTCAGGATCATCTCTTTAGAAAGCCGCTCCCTAGGTCCAGAGCGTGCAAAGCCCTCGCGATGCCCTTCCAGGATGGCATCCATGTGCCAGCTGGTATGAGCCTTCTTGTTCCTGGCAACAAAGCAGGCTTCAGTGAGGTTAGACCAGGCCCTGGACCACTCGACAGCCCAACACCGTCCATGAGAAAGGGCGCCCAGCGCTGTCTCCCTGTGACTCCTGCTCTCCTGGATCCTCAGATACTCCAACAATCCACTCCATGAGCAGCCTAAGCCCTAGTGGCTGCACTGCCAGCCAGTCAAGGTCAGAACGGAGCACATGGCGGTGGGGACTTGTCACCTGGGCGTAAAGATGCTCACACTAAGTGCCTGTACCAGCAGCAGTGTGCTGGCTGCCAGGGACCCTGTGAATCTGATTCAGCTGGGCCACTCATGGGTGCTTGGAAACAGACTCCCACAGCAAGGGCCCTGGATGGGGAGGAGGCAGCACACACATGGGTCCACTACTCAGCACCAAGCACCCACCTTCTGCCCTCTACTCATCTGCTTTTCCTTTGGGAAAACTCGTGTCCCAGGCCCAAACACCACACAGCGCTGACGCGGCCTGTGTGCACAGAGCCCCCTTTTGCAATCAACAGCCCATGGTTTATGACAACTGTTGTACTCAACTGTTGTCACTGATTAGGGCACTCTGTTGACATGCACATGATAGACAGATGGTTGGGTAGATGATGGACAGATGAAGGGTTGGTGGGATGGGTGGCTGGATGAATGGATGAGTGGATGGATGAGTGGATGGAT